GAGAGTCATTGTGCGCGAAGGATCGAGCTCAATACATGATTTACAAAACCTAGATGATCGATCAGAACCCACGGCATCTATTAAAGCTATTGGTTGTACTAACCATTTATCAACTTGCTCAGGAGTCAAAACCGTGTTATTGCTACCATCGACTGGCACATCGGTTCCAGAGCATTTTCCCCAGTGATACCACATCTTGCAAGCATCACAGCATATCCAAGTATCCTTGTTGACGCTCTTGTCGTCGTTTTCGCTGCACCCAGGACATTTCTCTTCTTCCTGTGCTGTCTCCACAGCAGGGGCTTCCACTACCATATCCGAGCTCGCAGCTGGTTGAGCCGCAGGAGCTGCTTTCTTTCTCTTGCCGGATGGAGGCATATTTAGCTGGGGAACAGTAGGCGGAAACGAGGTCGGTGTCCTAATTCTTTCGAATGCGGCGCACCTGCCTCCCGAGCCTTACTCAACATGCGCAACTCGCCCTCACGGAGACTGTATGAATCCGATATGTAAAGTAGACTAGTGCATAATCCAAACTAATAAAAAACATAAATTAGACTAGTCATGGTATATCTAGTGTCAAACTATGGCTACAGAGATTTACGGGCGAGTCGTGGTCTGTTCTTCTGCTGCTGGGGCTCCTTTTTTCCAAACGTCTTCCAAATCCTGCCTGGGCCGCCTGACTGTACCATCGATACTGGTGGTTTCCATTTCGTACGATTCTCCCTCACTATCATGGTGATGTTTTCCAGGTACGATAATCGTTGGAGGAGGGGCCAAGTGATTGTTTACGACAGGAGCATAGCGACGGTCTTCTTCTGGTGTACCTCTACCAGAATGAAGCGTATTGGCATTCGTATCAGCAGAATCGTACGAATGTCCCCTTGCATGCCCCTGCTCTTCGTCGAGGGGAACAGGTTGACCCTTGCCAGACGGAATACGCGGTGAATAAGGCCGGTGACTCAATGCACTGGAAAGACTGGGATAATATTGCCTATACGCAAAGAAGGCAAAGACAAGGCCGAGAGTGGATCCAGTCAAGACATCTACGGTGCTGTTTCAACGAATGCAACACTGCGCAACACGGCAGATTCCGCTTACCTTGCCAATGGTGTCTGTAGTCCATGGTTCGCGAGATCGCGATTAACGCAGCCCCAGTAAGAGGCGTAAGTGACACCCATGCCTTGCTTGTATAACCACGTTCATCCTTTTCAAAAGTCAACACAGATTCGGTCCGAACGATCAAAGAACCCACAAAGAGATGGAGCTTTCCGGACAAATAAAACGTCAAGAATCCCAATCCAGCA